GGAAACATTGTAACTGTTATGGTGATTAAAATAGTTTAACAGCTGATCCTAAAGATGTTTTCACATGACACATATGAAATTATGTGTTCTGCATACTGCCATCTATCGTGTGTTTGTTTGTGCAAGTGAGTACAGGTATTGTTTTTTTCCAGTGTGCACATCCTCCACACACAGATATGCATGAACGTGTGTCGCTATCAGAGAAGAGGCCCAGGGTCAGTTTTACCACAGTGATAAACTCACAATAATAGCTTGCTCAGGACATACCTATGAAGTTCAAATCACACTGCCGCTCGTCCATCTCTATTTTTGAAAGATTGTGTAATAACTGTTGTGTATCAGTTTCTTTTCATCAAATTTACAGTTACAGTTGTATTGTAGGTGTATTAGAAGATATTAAGGTGCATTATAGTCTACCTTAGGATGGTTTTGATGGTTTATTGCATCATAATAAAGCTTTTTTTACCAGGCGAGGATGAAAATATTATATTTTTTCTGTATTTCATATCCATGTAGTCTGTAATGGTAAAATAAATATGTTAATCTACATTGGATTTATATTCCTTAGCTTCTGACCTTTCAAAGGAGACCAGAATTATGCATGTAGGCCTAATGGTTGAGGAGATATTACAGATTTATTTTGGATATGTGATTTTAGGCATTTTTCCTAGAAATAGGTGCCAGGTAGGTTAATCTGATGTGGATGTAAACTCCCTCATATTAAAACTGGAAGTCAGCAGTTTAACTTCAGCTGTTGTTTCATTTCAGATGCAATATGCGAATGTGGAAAACTGCGTCACTCACTGACTGCAGAGTACATACACAGTAAGATGACTCATGTTTTGGCTTTGCCCCTCCCCATCAATCTTATTCTCTGCGCACCGGTCTGGGTCCATGTCTCCAGGGTTTTGGCATGCACCCACAAGTCTTATCTCTTTGCTCAAATGGTCCAGTAAACAAATCAAACACACAAACATGTACAGGAACACACACACACACACACAAGCCATTCATTAATGAAAATACCCTCTGCAAATACTGCCTCTTCCTTTAAGCTTTTAAGTGCTTACAGGCCACATGCTGAGTAAAAAAAGGGGAATATTACAGGAATACTGACATTTGTTTATGAATCTTAAATATTCCCAAACAAAACTTGAATATCTGGAGTTTAAAAGTGAGTTTTCTAATTAGAGTTTTGTTAGCTGATGTTAGCATTAGCGAATGATTTTACCACCATTTCACAGCCTTTTAAAAAGAAGGGAGCCAAATACAGAAAAGGTAAGCTTGTTAAAGGGCATTTTAATAAATAAAAAAGGCTAAGGGCATGTGTTAGAAGTGTGGTTCATGTCCTTGGTATTTTTGATAGAGAGTTGAGGATTTTTGAGACTTGGGATTTTAGCAGCATTCGACAATTTCAATAAAACACATGGTGCGTGTGTTATTGAGTGATTTTAGTGTTTTTGTATTATTTATCATTTTTTATAAAATTATATATTATATATTAAATATTAAATTATATATTAAATCACCTAATCTCACCTTTCAGTGTTAAAACAAAAGTGATGTGGCCCATTTTCTAATTAATGTATCTACACCTCTTTATCCTGCTTTAATTGGAAATGATGCAATTAGAAGCAATCTAATCAAGCAAACAATGCCAAGTGGAGGCTCTTTGAGGAGTCATTGTGTTTGATCACAAAGCCTTCCTAATGGTACATTGACCAGATACATTGATGTATAAATAACTGTACACATTGTTTTATTTTATTTTGTATGTTACCATACGTGTGTAGCATGAATTAACTACAAATTTAGTTTCGTTATGTAGCTTTGTGCTGTATAATGACTAATAAACAACCTTGTACCTTGTATCAGCAGAGAATGGTAAGAATGTCCTGACATCAGGTTAAAAGAAGACAACATACGTATTCCTTCATTTGGGATATTTGAAAGAAATAAAGAAATACAGAAACATAATTAATAATTAATTAAGTTTGAGGTTGAGGAACATTACAACTACTACTACTCTAAAATAAGAACTAATTTTACATTTAAATTCATGTAGAAATTCTGTTTCATGCAGGTTTTGTGTACTTTTATGCAGCTCTGATCAAAGTGGAGCCCATCATATCAGTTTAGCTGGACTAAAGAGGCTAAACAGCCCATTTGCCCTCTTTGGCTGAGCTGCCCCTCAGGAGGGATGTTTTTTTAAATTATTGCTGTATAAATACGAGTAGCCCATAGTTGCTAAAGTTTTACTAAATTAACTCTCCACATCCTCCAAAGATAAACTGTCTGATAGATTGAACGGTTAAACTACAGTATTTCACAAGAAAAGCAAATATTAGAGAAAATGCTTGAAAATAAATATAATCTTGTGTACTGAGTTTCTTTTTATTTTCTGATTTCATAGATACCGTTTAAAGCAAAGTCTCTTAGCATATCCAAAGAGTTAAATTATCAAGTATATTAGTCTCTGACAGCAGGCCTGTGAGAGTGACAATACCACAGTAGAAGGAAGCTTATAAAGGAAGCTTTGACTCTCATGTCAACCACAGCAAGACACCAAAACCTGCTGAAAATGTTTCAGATAGGAGCAGTACACCAGCAAAATGTTTAACAAACTGGCCTATTGACCTGTTTCCCTATATGTGTACTACCCCATCCTGCTGACTTTAGATACATTATGTTGTGCGGAGAGTCAAAGACAAGAATGTGTGTCAGAAGTGGCAGAAGTATACGGCTCAGCTCTGCAGGACTAAAGCATTTTATTGTAGTGAGTCTGTGATTCAGGTGGCCTTGTTGTTCTGTTCACTCAGCAGAGCGCAAAACACTGGGTTGCTCAGTTATGCAGACTTTAGTAGCCAAGGTTATGTCACAGCTGCCTTTTGTTCTGCTATCATGAATTAACAGTTTGTTCAGGAAGTGCAGAGGTCTCTCAGGTGAATCTGAGGTTTCCTATGAAATCACGAGAGATGCTAATAAAGCTGAGGGACTGAAAGTTCAAGGGTCCTCGTCGCCCTGCCTCTGCAGCTGGAGCGTCCCTGAGCAAAACTGAATCCTCTGGAGGAAGTACCAACATGCTCAAACAGACTTCCATACAAAAAATGACAGTTTTTATGAATAAACCAAAGTAGGCATGTGTAGAAACAGTAAATACACCCATCTTTACAGTTGTTTGTGTTGTTATTATCAGGCTAAAATCAAACCAAAGACTGCAACATATAAAGCAATATGTTATTTATATATATATATTGCAGAAAAAATGTATAGCCTTGTGTCTGATCATTGTTTGTTTTCCCAGTTTGTTGGAGTGAGGAACTAACATATCCTGTACATGCTCCTAAACATAACTTAAAGTGAAAGACACTGGAGCTATTTAAAGAAGTCATGGGCTTTGTTGCAGACCTATCATATCGCATCACATCATTTCTGAAAGTAATGAGCCTTTACATTGAAGTGGTATCAAGTTCACGTGCAGGAAGGATATGAGGGACACGCATCGATGTGGACGACTCTGTCATTCTCACACTGAACAGGCAGCTTTTAAACAGCTATCAAATCTTTATTAAAACTCATTTACATGGGTCACATTTATAGGTCACAAACCTGCAGTCTAAAAAGGGAGAGGTTGACAACCTTCTACTAGCAGCATGGGTTAGGGGAGCTGTTTTTCATCCTATGCAAAGGGAATATATGTATATATAATATATATATGTGTGTGTGTGTGTATATGTATGTATGTATGTGTGTATATATATATATATATATATATATATATATATATATATATATATATATATATGTGTGTGTGTGTGTGTATATGTATATATATGTGTATATATATACAGGGTGGAGACACACCAGCAGCCCCTGCAGTGTGAGGAGTGATGTCTCAGTGAGTGGGCTAAATTTAGACTCTGGCTTCTACCGCATCTTGAATAATAAGTGTGAATGAGTAGAGTCGCTGTGCTTGCGTGTGAGTGAAATTCAGAGAATGAGGAGTTAAAATAAAACTGACAGTCAAACTGAGAGGAAGTGGTGAATAGACCAGAAACATAAAGGAAGCAAGTCAAGATGCTGCAATTTGACCGTGCCTTATCTTTCACCCATAAGCTGCCTTGTTTGGGGAGGGATTGGGGTATGTGGAAGGTGTACCGTGCAGCAACAAGAGTACACTTTGGAGGAACAGCTGATGGGTGAAGGGGGGGGGGGGGGGGGGGGGGCTAGGAGGGTCCTGGAGAGGCTGAGTGAGACAAGAAAAAGGAAAAACAAGTAGGTGGAGCGAACTAGAAAGGAGGGCGGCGCCACAGTTCTCTTATGAAGGACACCATGTATATTTAGTCAAAGACAGCTTCTCCTGTACAAGCACAGCACAGATCTAATGTTCATGAGGCAGACCTGAACGACTCTACAAGACTTTTCTGTTTTTCGCGCACTACTGGAGCGGCTTCTGGTTGCTGCGCAGAGAGGATGCTTTTGTCTCTACAGCGCACACCTGGAACAAGAGAACAGTGAGTGCTTTTTGGCGGCTGATTTCGTTGCTCAAACCAGAAGCAAAGTGAAGGACCGAGTTCCTTCCTTGTATCACTATTAAGGAATGCCATTGGACATGAGCTTGTGACACCGGCAGACACCAGTGCAATAAACAATTTGGTCATCTGCGCTCTGTCCTTGAAGAAACGTTGCAGTTTCAGCCAGGGTTTTGCACTGTGAACGCAGGAAATTGACTCGAATTCCAACAGCCTTCACTTCTTATTGTTATTTATTCAGTTTATTTTACTGATTTTCACTGTCACGGGTTTGCTCATAGGGCAACAGCAATCAACTCTCCATCAAATAAGCACAGCGGGTTATCAGTCAACGTAGTTTTACGCACAAAGGCGCTTGAGCTCAAGCCGAGACAAGCGCACGGGCAGCAACATCAGGTGCTGTTAGGTGGACAAATAATATAAAAGCACAACCAAAGAAAGCAGGGCAGTCCAAGTCCAGCCATCAAAATGACGGACGGTGCAAGACAACGGAGCAGCACCTCGGGTTCTGCCAAGGAAGCTGCTGGTGAGAAGGAGTCGGGAGGCGGAGTTGCGCTCAAGAAGGAAATCGGTCTTGTCAGTGCCTGCGGTATTATAGTAGGTAAGTCTGTGTTATTGTAATTTCTACTTGAGCCACTGCTGCTATGGTGCGACCAGTTGTCTATCTATCCCCACAACAATTCAGCATTCCCTGCAGCCATATTGCCTTTTAATAGCACACAGCTCATCTGTGCGCCTGTTTTTGAGTGTCAGAGTGAGAGACATGAGATCATGTGTTTCAGTGCGTAGGTCACTGTGATAATCTGGGTATTTCAAGACGCAGATGTTGTATTTTAACATACAGTTGGCGTCATTTTACCTGCAGTTGTGCACCACAGAATAGTTGGTTGGAATCCAGCTTGTGCTCTGCTCCCATTAAGTCACCTGTGTGACAGGTTTGAGATAAAAACCACAAATGTGCTAACAACCTTTAAAGGCACACATTGGTTTGGCTGTAACTCTCTTTAAAATGAAGCTAGATCTAATTCCTCCAGCCCCTGCTGTAGTCTTTAATCAATGAAAATTTCATAATTTCTTTGTAGCCTGGCCAGTGATGGTGATGTTGCACCCTCCTCACCTCTGATGCTCAGAGGATTAGCCCATTCAGAGCAATTTGTAGGCTCACATGAGTGACTTAGACACAGAAAGGTGTCAGGCTGACAACACATGGACTTACAGCTCTTGTATTTGCCATAAAATGCTAAATATATAAGAATAGATATCGGTAATTTTGATGGAGAGACAACTTTTAAAGGGGCACATTTTACAAATACAGTTCAGTTTGGGTATAGGCCTACTACTCAGCATATAAAAACAGTTGTTTCATTTGCTTATCAGTCTGATAAACTAACCCTGGTGATTTCATCAGGGTTTAGAGTGATTTGCATTGTGGGAAATTTAGGATCCAGGGTTTATGGAGTTTGAAATCAGGAGATCTCGTCCTCTGCTGCATTTTTTAAAAATTATTATGTCTTGTCTCCCTCTCATTTTGTGGAATTAACAGATCTAAAGCACATGTACTAACTTTAGTTGCATCATTCATATACACGTGGCCAATCGAAAGTGACTCATTCCTTTTTTCACGGTAGATTGGTTACGTTTGTTCATGTTTTGAGATGATCGCAGTGATAATGTAACTTTCGTCTTAAAGTAGAGACATTGATGTTCAACTGGCAGCATGTGCACAGCCACCACTTGGCCAGTTGTGATGTTTCAGCATGTATGAATAAATTTACATTTTATTGGTGATTTTGATGATGTGTAAAGGATATGTGTATAACAGGGCATTACATTCAATGCATGGGATTGTGCTGAATGTCAGTGAAAAGTGTGAAACTTGCACTTATAAAAACAAGACAAGAGATGTGAAACAGATATAACAGGAAAGGTCAAAAGAGGTGTCTTTTGTACTAGGGCTGCAACTATCAATTACATTCATAATTGTTTAATCTGCAGATTCTTTTACAGTTACAAATACAGTTTTTGCACCTGACTGTGTTCTTATATGATTGCAAATATGACTAAAGATCTATAAAATGTCTTCTTAAAATAATAAACTACAAGCAAGTAATCACTGCACATGCTGCCAGCATCCTCTCTCTGTTGCTCCACCCTTGATCCTATCTTTGCCTCAACATTTAGATAATTTAATAATTTTTTTATTGTCTCCATTCATCGGCCAACATTTAAGGAACAGGTTGGCAGCTTTTAGCGACTCATGCCATCTTAGAGGATTTTTATGGCCATCCAGAGTCCATCCACCTTGTATGGCGTGGTCACCAGACTGTTCTTGCCCTTGGCTTTTTGTCCTTCACAAAGTCACTCATTCACGGTCCTTCAGCTCACATTGTCATGTGTGAGCGAGACGAGAAGTCAGGTGCCTCGTCTGATCCCTTCGCTGTGAACATGCCCCGCTGTGTTTCCATGAAAAAGGGGCTGAGCACATGAGGACATCAAACAGTTTTATGGCCTATTGTACAGTTAAGGCATTTAAAACACACACACACACACACACACACACACACACACACACACACACACACACACACACACACACACACACACACACACACACACACCTAGAAACGTGCAAAGCCAGGAATTGGGATTAGAAGTGAACTTTTGTCCACTTGGTAGAAGGCCCTGCCCTGATAATGCTGTTTTATTAGCTTGCCTGGCTAAGCCATGTGTTGTGTAATTAAATTGCTGCACAGACTCAAATTCACATCACTTTGATTAAGTAGTGATCTCAGTTTTATCCTATAACAGCAGCTCCTTGTCTTTTAAAATGGAGCCTAAAGCCTTGGCTGCCAGGTGTGATGATGACACCAAAAGCTCCTTTTTCGCTTCCTCCTCTTTCTGGTGAATTACTCCAGTGTTTAGTATAATAATAACTCATTCCCATGCATGTACACAAGCACGCGTGCCTGCAACAGCATCTGTGAGGGTCTGGCTGAGAGCCAAGCATGCAGCAGGTTGCCTCAGCTTGGTGGCTGTTTAGACAGGGATTTAACACTGGGTGGAAATGCAAGAACTAATCTTACAGAGCTTTATAGACGCTTATTAGGGTTATATCATAATGCTGCACAAACACACACGGTTGTTAATGTTCATGGTCTGCTGCTGCTGGTGTGTCGTTCAATTATGTGTCATGGAGGCACCAACAAATAACACAAGAGTTAATTTCTCTCATTGGTTCTTTGTCTGAGGTCGTGTTTGCATGTTTGGACTCGGCTTAAGATAAAATCAGAAAGTCGTTACACAAAATGTATCTCCATAGCGAGTCTCCACGTAAAAATGTTTTATTTAATGTTCATATGTTAAAAAGTATTTGGCTTTATAGCAAGTATTTTAAGTAGAAATGTTCTATATTATGGTAATAATTGCTAATGGAAAATAATAAAACAACCTTAAGTGGCTATTAGATTTTTTTTAACCTTCATTAAAAAATGTTTTCTAAGAGTATCCTGCCGCTGCCTGCTGCTATACCAAAAATCAAGCAAACGTATTAAGGTATCTTACCAGTGTATTTAAGCAAAGCCTTACCATGTCTGCAATAAAACTGCAACCATTTCACAACATTAATGAGCCTTTGGTTAGGTTTAGGGAAAGATCATGGTTTCAAGTCAACAATGACTTTCAAGGTCACACACGAACAAAACCCTGTGGCCTACTCCAAGAACACGGCTTGATGCTGCGACTGAGTGAACGTTGGTATTCAGAGGAAGGACAAACTGTCATTAAAAATTTTATAATTATTAAACAAAATAAAACTAATCAGGATGATAAAAACATCGCCCTCTATTGGCCAGTCGCCGCTGTGAGTAGAGCTGAAATGATAAGTCGATTAATGAATTACTCGATGGGCAGCGAAGCGAAACTATCAAACATTCCTTTTTTCCAGCTCCTCAACTGCGAAGAGTTGCTGCCTTTCTTTCTCTTATGTGACCGTAAACTGATTCGAGTATATGGACCAAAAGATTCATCAGTAAACTGATGAAATAATAAACAGGGCTAATGAATTACAGATGAACAACATAATAAAACAGATAACACAAAATCAGAACTGAATAAAATTGCTATTGTAACATTTTATAAAACGTTGTGTCCTAGAAACTCTCAAAAGGACCTCAGAGGTGTCGAACACCATAAAAATTAACTCTGTAAAGTCTGTTGTTGTTGCAAACAAAGTCCAAGAGGAACAGAAATGTGCTCGGAGAGTTTGTTTGAGACCAAGCTTTGTGAAACTACAACCTAGTGACACTGGAAGATGTAAAGAGGCTGAGGCCTGCAGGGATTTGGAACAAGAGTAAGACTTGACAAAGATACATGTGAACGAACATGATGAATGCTACCTCAAGAGATTCGACAGTTCAGACTTTTTATCCACTGCTTCTTAAAGTTCATACAAACAAAGCTGGTCTTAGATCAAGGTCAAGACAAGGCTGGTGGCTTAGCAACAGCATGTTTTTATTTTTTTTTATAAAGTCATGTTTCCCCTTGGCCTGGTTAGAGACCAAAGGATGTACAAATGAGCACAAGAACGGGAAACTTGAAAGATTCCACATTAGTCAGCATGTCTCGCACACATGAACACATAACATGCAAGAATGCACATTTGCCTCAGCCCTATGAAAGCGCCTGCTCAGCCTTACACAGAAATCATAAAACTCATTCAATCAATCCAGAACCGGCACGCTACCTTTCGCATATGCAAAGTTGTTAAGTTGTTGCAGAAGCATATAAGGGAGTCTGCAACAGAGAAAGAGTGCCGAGTCGATGCATGGCTGTTTCTCCCTTTAGATGTCAAAGGTCATGCTCTGAAGACATCTGCTGCCATAAAGATGTCAACATAATCAGGGGTGTGACAGTTTGTTTGTCGTTCTTTTTAACCTTTTACCTGAAACTGGAGTTACACAAGTGAGCCGCTATCATCACTACTCGTGATGCATATGGAATCTGTTAAAGTTTAACACATTTACATGCCCTCCTGCTTTGTTAAGATTTTGCTTTAGATTTAACTGATCTGAGAAAGCATGTACAGTGTTCTGTTTGGCAATTTCTAGGCTTTCCCTTTTGGTACTGAATGTTGCAATATAGAAATTTCCTGAAATACAATCTTTAAGAGAAGAGGACAGTGTGTTTGAGTCTGCAACTACTGCGATTATTTCCTTCTTATGTTTTGACCATTTAAAATGAAGCAATATCTGCTACCGACCCCTCATCACAGGTTATGCCCATCCGTAAGATGTTTCTTGTGACCGTGCTTCAGGTTGGTCCTGGTTTAGTCTGTAAAATGTAGTGACCAAAGCCCCTCACTGTTTCCCACAGCCCAGGGTGACCTCTGTAAATAGCTTGATTTTATTTGTCTACTACCTCAAAACCCAAATATATTCACATTATACAAAAGTAAGAAAAGCAGCAAATCATCCGTTTTGGGAAGCTGGAACCAGCAAATATTTGGACTTTTTAACATAATGAAAGATGTAAATGACCACTATTGTGTTGTCACTCTATGTACGTAGCTGGATAAATAGCTGCAAGTAATATATTGTAGTTAAGCTGGGAAACATGGTAGACACACACACACACACACACACACACACACACACACACACACACATACGATCACTTCGTTAAACTCTCCAGGGAGAATGTGACAGTTCATTCATACCTTTGACTTTTGTACTGTAAAACGCTGCTCAGCAAATCATCCAGATTCAAAACCTTCAACCTTCGACCCAGACGCCTTTTTTAATTGGCTTCTTCGTTCAAACACAGTCAGCCCAGTCAGCTGAATCTGATTTGAGGCTCCTGACCTCCGACCTTAGCTTAGTCGTTGCCCCGTCAGATAGGACTCAGTCTGTCCGGAGGCTACGGCGGTTGCTTTCATGTTGGACCAGAACCCAATCGTCCGTCCCTCCATCTTTCAGCTCCTGTGTAAACTGTCTGGCACTCTGATACTCATTGAACCTATCAGGGCATTATCCCCCCCCCCCCCCCCCCGCATCTACCTCTCATCCCTCCTCCCTCTTTGCACTCTTTCACCCCGCTCTCTCTCTTGCTCCATCTCCTCATAACCCTTTTGCAAAGTCAGCAGATCACAGGTTCCCGCCTGCCTCATCACTGTTCAATTGGTGCTCTGTCGCTCTCACTTTCACTCTCTCATTTGTCGCTCACTTTCTACTCATGAACTGCTCATTTTGTCTATATACATTAAATACTACAAGTAAACTTTCAATGAAGTAAAATCCCTACAGGCAACTTAGGAAGTATAACTATGAAGCAAATTTAAAAGACCATACCAGTGTGTTTGCAAGTTTTAGCTCTCTAACTACAAACGATGTGTACCTTTGCAAAACAAAGGATGTCTGCACTGGTAGAAAATGTAAATTAAACTTTCTTAAACACACAAACAAGCTGAAAATTAAAAAATGCTAAGCCACTGGTAATGTATTTTTTTAAACAGAATAGTCTCGGTTCTTGACATCCTGAAATCTATTGAAGAAAATTAGGCTATTGATTTTTTTTAATTTATTTTTTAAAGTGGTACTCCAGTGATGTGTTGCACTTGCATAAGGATGGAGGGAAGAGACACATTAACAAAATAATGATAAAAATTGCTACAGCAGAGATGGAGATTCCCTAATTTGGGTCATGCTTTAAAATACTAGCTCCCACAATTCCCATAATGCAACTGGATGGCAGATTTTTTGACTCCCTGCTTGAAAAATGCCCTCATATTTCAAACTCCACTCCCCCAGTTTGTAATCCAGACTTTCTCAAGTCTCAAGCCCAAGCGGAGATAACGTTTGACATCACTGAGTTATTTTGAATTATTCTCTCACTTGACAATGCTCATCCGGAGCTACAGAGGACGTGATACAACTGTTTTCCCAGGCTTAGTTGTGCTTCCCATGACAAAATGGTGGAATGCATGCTTTTAAATGCACTAAAAAAGGACATTTAAAGCATTTTGGTTTTGCCTCAGCTCATTTGCACACGTAACCACTACATCGCCTCAAGACAATGCTGACAACAATCTGTTTTTCAGTCTGCACCAAAACCTGACACCTCATGTCTCCCCTCCCTCCTCCCTCCACCAGGTAACATTATCGGCTCAGGTATCTTCGTCAGTCCGAAGGGAGTGATGGAGAACGCCAGCTCCGTGGGAGTGGCCCTGATCGTCTGGATCATCACGGGTATCATCACTGCCATCGGGGCGCTGTGCTACGCCGAGCTGGGCGTCACCATCCCCAAGTCGGGCGGGGACTACTCTTACGTCAAGGACATCTTTGGAGGGCTGGCTGGGTGAGTGAAAACTGAACATTCATAAAGATGTTCAGTCTTCTACTTATAGCTGGAAACAACAAGTAGGGCGTTCAGGTGTATTTTAATAAAACATCTGAAGGTGTGATCTGATTCCCATGAGAAGGATGTTTGATTGAGTGGAGGGGGTTTGTAATTGGCATTTAGGCATTTTTTGTGTTGCCATAAATGCTTCCAAATCTTTCTAAATGTTTTCAATTAATTTGGCTAGAAAAATTAATGCCCTTTAAGATTTTAAGATCTTTCTGATTGAATTGACCCATCCAGGTATCATTTTGAAAACCAATGCTAGACGTTTAAAGCTATTTTTCATTATAACTAAAAGTTATTATGAGGATTTAATGATGGTCAAATTGATCTCTTTTGAGGATTGACATTGTTACTCATTCTTGGGTCACTTAGGTTTAATAAACCCTCAGTTGACCCTCGTCAAAAGTGCTGTCTATTAAAGATATGACCCAGTTTTCTTGAAGAAATTATTATTATTAAAGTCAATTTGACATGGATTTAGGTGAGCATACCAACTTTTCTCGATTCCTCTCTTTATCCTGGTGGATGAGCCTGGCGATGTAGGTCAGACATCTTGATCCAAAGCAGGGGGGTCTTTTGTTAGTAAGTCAAGCACAGATGTTAAATTTAGTACAGCGATAGTAACCCCACATTAATCAAATGCTGACCCGCATGTATAAACACATCTGCCTACAATCACAAAGCAGTATCCCAAATGTTCAAAGTCAGTCACAGAATTACAAATGTCAGGCTTCTTCTTTGCCAACTGGTCCTGTCGCATTCAACTATAACGGTTAGCTTTAAGGCAATGGCACTTACATTAAACCCTTGGGAACCATGCCGGGTTAATTTCCTAGCAAAACAATATCGTTTGTTAGCGTAGATTTTACACACACACTGTGCCTTTGCCCAGACTATAAACACAAATTGTACCATTGTGTTATCTATCACAAGGATACATATTATCAGGGTATTTCGGGACAGGAATTCAACCAGACATAACAGCCAATGATTGTTTTTGTCCCTTTTGTGCAGTAGCTATCATTATACATCAATGAACTTCAGATGCTAGGTTTGATGTGTTGGGGAAACTGTTTCCCTGTGCCCTCTGTCTGGGATAAATAAACAATTTTCAAGGGGTGTTTGTTTTTGTTGTCCTGCTCCTTTTTATCCCTATGTGTGTTTATGTGGGCTTGAGGTGGGGGGCTGCAGGGGTGCAGCTGTGTTTGCATGTGCGTATAAGTCAATAACTTTGATATTTTACAGTTCCTGTACCTTGCCTGGGAGAACGGAAAGCTCGTAGAAAAGGGGGAAGAGCTCGTAAAGTTGTACGCTCAAACACAACTAGAATGGACAATATTTTAAGTACAAAGGCTCTTTTGTTATGTCAGACTAATGGTGGTGGTGTTACACCCATAATATGCAGGATAAAGACTGCCGTAGATGCCACAGGTTGCAGAGAGACATTGTAAAAAACTTGATTAGAGGGTATTCTTATAATGGGCTAAATAAAGATAAATCAAATGTACTTGATATATATGGACAATCTAAATATACACGTTCAATAGATTGATCGATTAATTGTCCAAACACAGGAAACACTGGGAAACATCTATATTTATCCAGATTAATTAATGTGTCAGATGTATGTTCAGTATGAGCCAAAATTCTTTGGGTTCAGCCTCTCAAATGTTAATATTTGCTGCATTTATCTTTAGGTTTTGGACTGTTAAAAAAAAATTAAGAATTTGAATGACTTTGATTTTGGCTTTAGGAAAGTGGGATATTATTTTTCATTGAGAAAAGAAGATGAATAAATAACAAAAACAATAATTTGCTTTTTGCCCTAATACAGGGACTAATAGTGTATTTAAGTAAAAGTACAGAAGTATTATCACGCATATGTAAATAAGTATCACATGCAGTGTTATCATTTAATGATACATTAACCTGTAAGCTGCATTTGAATAGCTGGTCCATGTGGCGGTGTGGCCTACCACAATGTTCCTACAAACTATTATAGGTTGTTTAATGTACCGCAGTGCATCATATCATCTGGGTTCATGTTATCTTTAGCATGTGAAACCTGCAAAACAGCTATAGCTGTCAAATCAATATAGTAAAGTAAAATGCACAGTAGTTCCCTCAGAAATATAGTGGAATAGAAGCAAGAAGTTGCACAAAACAAATAGAAATTAAAGTGCAAGTACAAACAATTCTTGAGGAAATGTTACTAGTGGTTTTAGTCAGCATTGGCCTGCATTTGAATGTACACTAAACACACACATTCCATTGAGACACAATCCCATTAATGCAGTCAGCTGTAACATTAATGATCCCTCTTTAAGCTCGCAGGGATTTTCATGGAAAAACCACTTGCCTTGTCTCTCCTGCTAAAAGCTTATCCCTCCTGCTCTACTTCGTCTCACCCCCACTGCCCCAACAAAATGCCCCTACAAAAATGCAAATTCAAACAAGCGGCTAAATATTAGTAGTAAAAGCAGACGCTCACTAATATGGGTAATGTTCATATTGCATCATGTTGTTCCCCTGTGACTGGAGCTATTTACTGTAACCAGACAACAACAGAAAGCTGGCATGAGTCACCTCAGTTACACCGTCCAGTTAAAACTGTATTAGTCTCGGTACCAGTGAAGGGTTTTAACTGCTGCTTGGTCTAAATGCGGTTTCTACTCACAAACAGGAAAATTTGGGGGAACCCCAGATACTTTAAACTGAACATGAACCATACAAGTGAAACGTTGCTTTTAGTATTTGTGTTGTCCTAATCTCTTGAGCATTTTTTCATCATAAAGCCTATAAAATCTCACAAAATAGCACAAAATGTGGAAACAGAAAAATTAACACAAATGTACACACAAAAAGCAGCAAATCCTCATATTTCAGAGGCTGAAGCCGGCATATGTGTAGGATTTTTGCTTGATAAATGACTCAAAGGAGTGATTGCATTATATTCAGAAGTATGAACAATTAATTTACTGTCAATTCATTAATATCTTTGTATAACAAACAATAAAATCAGATTATAAGTTATTTTACAATACAAAGAGAGGCCACGTTTAGTAAGAAACAGAGTTGACACGTGTGCGGACTTCAACCAAAAATAACCTGCTTTGAATGGGAATCTGAAGGATGTATATTCGTCCTGTACAGCACCCTACTGTTTCTCCCATGCCTCTCTGTTTGTAACCGTGCCACCCTCCTTCCTTTTTGTCTCAGGTTCCTGCGCCTGTGGATCGCCGTGCTGGTGATATACCCGACAAACCAGGCCGTGATCGCGCTGACGTTTTCCAATTACGTCCTGCAGCCTCTATTCCCCACCTGCTTTCCGCCAGAGAATGGCCTGCGTCTGCTGGCTGCTGTCTGCCTCTGTGAGTAAAACAGTCTGACGTGCCAAGTGTGAGTGCAGAGTCGCAACTTGCTCCAGGCATAGCACACAGGGGTTTACTTACTAGTTATTAGTTCAAAAGTTTTCTTGTGAGTGCAACATCCTCAAGTAGATGTATATGCAGTGCTTGTTATGTATGTGTCAGCTGTGTAACGTGATCATGACAGGAATATTCATCCCAGGGGTTTAGAGCAATCTTTAACAGTGGGTAAAAGTAACTCATATGTCTGCCTCTTTGTTCTGTCCCCCTCTTGTCAAATCAAAATAAAATAACCTAAGGCAGCTGGTTGGAGCTTCACATAAACAGCACAGACTTGAGAGTGATATCCCAGACTGGATTTCCACTGTTTCATCTAACTCATTTGTTTTTTGCCAAAATATTTGCTGGCAGCAACTACATTATTCAGCTTTTTATGGTTATGTTTAAACAAAACAGTGCCCTATGGACAGAATTTCTAGGAGGCATGGAAATTAAATGTCCCTTATGAGAAACTTTTCACAAATTCAACTCTTTCTCCTTCATAAATACTCTTTGAAGCACCTGTTGAAGCAGCTAAAAGCTCAATTTCACGCTCATTCAGTATGGACGATACAGAGATAAGAGTGCAGATGATCTAAAGAAATACAGCAGAAAGAGTTGTTGAGCCAGGCTCAAATGTTGAAAAACTTAAAAAAGTATCATTATCACAATGCAGCATACACAATGGATAAAATCAGGGTTGAGACACTGGTTGCTGGACAAAATGTAAAAGTAGCTCACACACTGTGTAGCGCCACGTGTTTAACATTAAAGCACATGTTCCACTGCAGCAGCATTTGCTTTGTTGGTTTCTATTACAACCTCAAGGCTGTGTATAGGTTAATTAAAGCAGTCACAGATTGGCTGCATTACGGCTTGATTTATCCTGTTTATGTCACTCTCTGTCCCAGTTTTTCTCTGAAGCTCTTCTTTTATTTACACATCAGAGGTTATCTAAGAGAAGGTGGAGAATAACTCGTATCGTATCAAAGCATCTAGGGGAGTGTAGCACCAAGCAGAAGACAGATGGATAAAAAGGGGGGGGGGGGGTAAATATTGTTTTAGACATCTTCTTAAATAGCCACTAAATGCTTTTCGGCACTGGAAAAGGAAAAAGGGGAACAACATTGTCCTTACTTCAAGTTCTGCTAACTGTTTTGTGCAAAAAGCTGCCATATTCACATATGCACAATTCAGCATTACAGTTTTTTGTTTTGGTTCATCAGTAGAAAGTCACTACAGTTTGCGTCCATGTTGCCTATAATCCATTTTTAGTATTTCCACTAATCTGCTTTTGCATGTTGCCTATAATCCATTTTTAGTATTTCCACTAATCTGCTTTTAAACTGATCTCCAAAGGAGGTGTAAAGCACCTGCGATGTCCTGTGACATGCTGTTTACTCGCATATGTGCTCAGTTGGCTGCTCCATTTAGCTTGACATTGTGGAAACCTCACATTCCCAAGGCACAATAACACGCAACACATTTGTACTCAGTGAACCAGGAGATCCCCTCCACGCCTATCTCTTTCTGATCGAAAACGTTGGAAAACCTGCGAGGTCTACTCTGATAAGTGTGATGAAGCAAGCAGTTTAGGTAAAACAGAAAATCTCTTATGCATGGTAGAGCTATTTGGTCCAGTCTACACCAAAAATCTCTGGGGCTTTGTAGCATTTTTATTTTATTACAGACACATTGACCTACATTTCCCTGTCTTTCTTGTCCTACTTCCATGAATGCCTTTCAGAGCAAATTCTGGTTTGTTCAGCTACTGATTAGCTGAGCCAGCAGCGCTATCTGGTTTTTCTCAATCAATTATGACAGATGTTGTCAGGCAGCGAAACAACCTGAGTTGCTGAGTCTTTTATAGATGTTTTGCTGTTGATGCTGAGGGGAGGTGAGGTTAGCAGTCGCCCTCGATTCTGATGTAATCTTTGTTGTTGTTGTTTACGGGGGCAGCATGCGTGTCTATCTGCTGCTGCTGCTGCATATTTTATTTCCTAAATATGGCCCCTTGCAGAACATTTTATAGTAGAGTGAAGCAAATAACCTTACTTATTTACAAATCCGTTATATATAAATCCAGTCAAAACAAGATTCCTTGACAGCCACGCAGTCGCTGGTCATATTAAATGTGCTGGGAAAACGTTTTCAAAGGTGTACAGTTTCAAAAACATGTTTGGGTTAAAAGAGGGGTGGGGGGATTCTCCCTGGGGTCCGACTCTTCCTACAGATGGCAGAGTGCGAGGTCATAGCTCTGTCGTGTTTTCCAGTGGGCTCATGGTTAACTCAGCAAGTTTCCACACACATTTTGTATAGCTTATGGACAGCTGAGAGATGTCCTCTGGTGTTTACTCGCAGCCTGCCAATCAACATAAAGGAGTAGGACGGGACACAGGTGTTGTTACGGTAATATAATCTGGTTCCTAAAACAACTCTGAGTTAAGAGGTTTAAAGAAGCATTTACTCTGGGCAGCATCAGTTGTATTATAGTCCATTGTGCCTGTGTGTATTTGTATACAGTACACAAATCAACTCATAAGTATGCATAGTTCCTCATTTCCTGTTCTTTTGTGGGCAAGTACCAGCAGCTGCCCTCACCACAACTCTTGCTCTTGATCTGCTGCAGTAGTTTTGTTTGGAAAAAAAAAAAACTGATGAAATTAAAGTCATAACTTTTCTCCCTGTCTGCCCCCTTAAAACACGCACTCACCCACCTAAAAATATCATAAACGTCCACACAGCAACTACAAACAAGCCCAGTCTGCAAACCCCACTCTGTGCACTCTGTGGCAGCTCAGCTCAGAGTCATTTAATGTGATGAACTTAATCCCACAGAGTCAAACAGGCCTATTATTTAATGGCACCCCATTGGCCTGAACCCACTGGCCTGTTGCACCCAGCAGTACAGATCAAATCCATTATCTTTGTCCGTGTTAGTTCAGCCTCAAGTTGAAGTGAGCTGAAAAGCATTTCCAAATGATGTTGTAGGGCCTCCTTGGTATGTAACAAACCCTCTTTATGTATTACTGTCAAACTCAGCAGGCTTGTGACCTGTTATTTCTCAGGTATGGCAGGGCTGTCTTTACAATCTTGTCTTATCAAATCAACACACCCTGACATGAAATTATAACAACATATAAGAACAAATTATAAGAATAATATAAGAATAAAAATAAGAACACACATTTGAACTTTATTAACACAACAAATTATAAACGGAATATAAAGTTTTTGAGAGATTCACTTACTTGAACATTTTTCAGCTGCTTCTCATGGTCGTCCTCTGCGGGTAGAGTTTGCTCAGTACATAATATGAATAAATAAATGTATCTAATGATATTTGCTGGTAAATGTTGTAATGTGTAATATCATTCCCATGTCAGGTAATATTTGTATGTAAAATGCATCGAGCAGATTGTTATGATACATAAGGTAACTTCAATCACTGAACCATATACAAATAATAAATACCTGCAGTACCTCAAAAGAAAACTACTACTACTACTATAACCTACTGCAGGTAAGACATGAAATGTAAGAGATAATGGGTGAAGTTCAACACGATAACACCTTCAAAGGTTGCCACAGTGCTGGACGTTGTGTGCAGCTTATAATCGTTCTCTGTTCGTTGACCTCAGATCAGTTCAGTCTCCATCAAGAAAAACTTCAAGGCCATTGTGCAACGATTCTTGTGTCTTATCAGGTTTATCAGTCACTTCTTCTTTTCTTGGGAAATTATCTACTGCTACTACTACTACAAACAATGCAGCGACAGTTCCTTTACAAGACCAATTAAACAGTAAACACATAAACCTTTTTATCACTAGTTTCACTCCGTAACACAATCATTTTCCCAACCTTTCAGCACAGTCAGTACAAAAATCGTATTGTGCAACCAAATCTTATTCAAACCCGCCAAATTTAGTTTTTGAATTCTAGATGCAATGATATCACATATCAGGCTGACTTTTGGAGGAAATTGATATATATATATATATATATATATATATATATATATATATATATATATATATATATATATATATATATATATATATATATATATATATATATATATATATATATATATATATATATATATATATATATATATATATATATATATATATATATATATATATATATGGTAATTTTACTAACCTTAAAGACGCTTAAAGGAACCACGACGGAGAAATGGAATTTAAGGTGTAAAAGAAAGCACTAATTCTGAGTTTTACTGTGTTTTTTATCTAGTGCTGCTGACATGGGTGAACTGCTCCAGTGTGAGGTGGGCCACCAGGGTGCAGGACATGTTCACCGCCGGCAAGCTGCTGGCCCTCGCCCTCATCATCATCATGGGCATCGTGCAGATCTGCAAGGGTAAGCTTATCAAACTGCCATCCGTGCTCCCTTAATGCATATGTTCATAGTGCATTCCACCTTTGTCTGGTGTTTTCTCTGTGTGTGAAAGGGAAAAAGTCACTGGGGACATTTTCAGTCATTCGGGACAGTATAGACTCCCCGTGGACGCTACAGGGGTCAGCGAGTTGCTGGGGCCCCTCACATTGCTAATATCAGCATGCCTGTGTGGGTTTGCTGTCACAACATGGCTGAGGGCCAGTTATTACAGTGGCCACAGAGAGTGGGCCCTTGTAACAACAAAAATGGGGATTTCGGCGCGAGTATTTGAAGATGAATGAAGAAGAGTTCAGTGCCTGATTTGACAGGAGACTTTTTAGGTCCTATATGGGAGGGAGTGTATGTGAGAGTAGAAATACTTTAATGCTCTCTGAAAACATGCCCCAAGAAGGGATTTTAGGAAAAAAAAAAAAATAAGGAATGAGAAAGAAACCAGATTCCTAAAGATCATAGATTATTTAGACATTTACCCCAAACAGAGGATCTGATCATTTCTCAGTGGGGACTTTAGAGATCACAGGGGATTTTTGCAAAGAAGTGGCTTTACAGGGATTTAGCAGAATGTCGTTTACAACTTGTTTTACACACTGATTGCATTAGATGATGGGTTTCAGCTGGGTTTCTTCACAGCAATTCCAGACTATAGTGTGTTGACCCTCACAGCAAAACATCATTAGCAAACCCAAGAGAAATGATGAGGAACAGACCTACTTAGTTAGGCATGGTCATACAAATTATCACAAGGATCACAAAGACCTGAATAAACAAAGAAGAGCATTAAAAGCCAATTCAGCTAACTAAAAATGTCCCCTAATCTTTTGCATTGTCTTCTCCACCTGTAGGAGAGTACTACTGGTTGGAGCCAGCCAATGCCTTTGAGCCGTTCCAGGACTATGATGTGGGTTTGATAGCCCTAGCTTTCCTACAAGGCTCCTTTGCCTACGGAGGTTGGAACTTCCTCAACTACGTCACAGAGGAGCTGGTGGACCCCTATGTGTAAGACACTTTGTCTTGCTCTCATATGTCTAGAAACATTTTGTCGTTGTGGTTAAAAAACCAGCTCCACACAGTGCTGAATGAATAACTGCTGTATGAGTGTAGCTTATGTTAAAGCTGCTTGCAGCTATTTCAGTGATTAGCAGTTGCATACCTGACTAAGCTTTCCAGTTTAATCCATGATTCCTTTTTTCAAAGCTCTTTGAAATTTATTGAACTTAGCATGGGAGATCACTTTCAGGATCTGACCTAGAAAACATTTCTGCTATTATAAAATGGTTTATTTCTTCATTTCCTCTGCATTTTCTGTATTTTTAACAATCCCACGTTTTTTTAATAACCTTGGTATCCATTAATACACCTCCCCTAAGGTACAATTTTTAATTTCCTACTTTATACCCCCCCCAACTTCATTCTCTTTAGCTTTTCTTCCCCTTTCTGTTTCCTAAACATTGCTGTTTTTATCATCTCCAGGAACCTTCCTCGTGCCATCTTCATCTCCATCCCCCTCGTGACCTTCGTCTACGTCTTTGCTAACATCGCCTACGTCACGGCCATGAGTCCCCAGGAGCTGCTCGCCTCAAATGCTGTTGCCGTGGTGAGTAGCTCAGAGCATGACGCAGGGTGTTCCTGTGACGTGATTAGTAGAATTAGTCTGTCTCCCTCTAGTGATCCCTGCTGGTCAATGTTCAAATCAAATATGTTAGTTGGTACCTTGTCATTCATTGCATCATAGTAGTGAACACATTAAAAATGCATGAATGTAAGCATCTAACCTTGTGTGTGTGTGTGTGTGTGTGTGTGTGTGTGTGTGTGTGTGTGTGTGTGTGTGTCTGCTTTACTCCTTTGACCCTCCCTCCCTTTCATCCACCTTGTAACCTCCATCCCAGACATTTGGTGAGAAGCTGCTGGGAGTTATGTCGTGGATCATGCCCATCTCTGTGGCGCTCTCCACCTTCGGGGGAGTCAACGGTTCCCTCTTCACCTCTTCACGGTTAGTTGGCTCGATAATGACTTCCACAACAATAACTATTACGCAAAAAATGCAAATTTTTCCTCTGTAGTCTAACGTATAAAAACAATTTACTAAATTTAACTTTCCTTCCTCATCTTAAATCACAACATGTATAACACTTTTCTCTTTTTCATTACGTAAAGTGTGGACGTACTGTAGACGGTTAAATCTAGATGCATTAGCTGAATGATTTATTTTTCTCTCACAGATTGTTCTTTGCTGGAGCCAGAGAGGGCCACCTCCCCAGTCTGCTGGCCATGATTCACATGAAACGCTGCACTCCCATCCCTGCCCTGCTCTTCACTGTGAGTACTGCTCTCACAGTGACTGCTTTTATATTATCTACTTCAGATAGGTTAGTTTCAGTCTCTCAACCTAACAAGAAAGCTCTTTAGCTCTTTATCATTCTTCCTGTCTTTGACCGCCCTTTCCTTCTTACTCCTCAGTGCCTGTCTACCCTGCTGATGCTGTGCACCAGCGACATGTACACTCTCATCAACTACGTGGGATTCATCAACTACCTCTTCTATGGAGTCACTGTCGCCGGGCAGATTGTCCTGCGTTATAAACAGCCAGATATGCACCGACCAATCAAGGTGTGTGTGCCTTTTTTTCCCTCTACAGTAGATGTTTCACTTTATGTACCAAATTATGTTAACAATTATGATGCCTCTCTGGCTTCATTTCAGCATGTGACTGTTGTTCTCTTTGCAGTTTTTCTGATATCTGAAGGTCAACATGTTTAAAAAAAAATGGAAACTGGCCCAAAAATATCATCTAATATTCATCATCTAATGAACTCTTCTCGTTTTCAGAAGAGACTATGCTAACAAGGCAGTTTTAAAAGCCACTTGATGAACAGCCAGTGTGGAAAAGAGCCTAATGTGCAGTAAATCTGCTTTCAAGCAGCCATAAACCATCCTCTGAGAGCTGCTATCTTGTGGTGTGAAGTGTGTACTATTGGTGATGACAGATGAATGTACAAAAATGATCAGTTAATCAAAATTTTACTTAATATTCAAAAGGGAGAAGCTATCTTCATAAGTGTAGCACGTTGTACCCGAGTAGCTGAGTGCAAATGCAGGACACCAGAGCAAAGCAGGTTCAGTTGATGATATTTAATAAAGTCCAACAGAAACTCACAGGCTTATACTTGGTGTGGCAGAAGTCCAAACAAAACAGAGGCAAATCAGGCAGATAATATCCAAAACACGTGGAACAGAGCATGGCAGAGCACTCAACATTAGACGATGACACCACTAGGACTGAACACAACTGATGGCAATATACGCAGGGGCACACCACACACACACACAAGCAGGCAGAGCAATTAATCACAGGTAAGACACATTAGGAATTAAGGTAGACAGGAAACAAAGTTAGACAAAAGCACCAATCCCCAAAATTACAAAATCAAACAGGAAATAAAGCTACAGACAATACACCAGGAGAAATGTAACTAAATACAACAGGGAACAAGGAAGCAATAATCAACCAACAAAACCTAAACAAGAGCAAAGAGGCAACGAGTAAAACAGAAATGGACATTAACAAAATAACAGAAAACACCACACATGATCATGACACATTGTTGCTGTGTTCTGTCTTCCAGATCAGCCTGATTTGGCCGGTCATTTACCTCCTCTTCTGGGCCTTCTTGCTCATCTTCTCCCTTTACTCTGAGCCCGTGGTGTGTGGCATCGGCCTGGCCATCATGCTGACTGGCGTCCCCGTCTATTATCTGGGAGTCTACTGGGAAAATAAGCCACAGTGCTTTGACGCCTTCGTTGGTAAGTTAGCTTATGTGTCACGTGAAGACATATTGTTTGGGCAAAATGTTCTTCTTTAGAACTACAAATTCACTATATCTCGTCTAAAGAATAGATCAACATTTCACTCTCATGTCTACGGAGGCCCTAAAGGTGACTTTTGTTATTTTTATTTTGTGCACACAAGTTATTATCTTGTGGGAACAAGTTATTTATCAAGCGCACACAAGATAAAAATATTACCTTACAGGACTTTAGGGGCTCTGTACACGTCTGTACAGAGAAGTGTGTTAAATATAAAGGTGTAGAGTCAGAAGGCTTAGCTTAGACTGGAAGCAGGGGAAACAGCATGCCTACTTTCAAAGTCCAAAGCCTGTCCTCACTTCTAAAGCTCACAAATGAGCATGTTTTGGTTAATCACCCAAATAGAAATGTAAAAACGAAGTGCGGTTTTATAGGGAGTTACAAGTTGTTCTTGTTGGGAAGCAACTAGCCAAGCTTGCTGTTTCCACCTGTTTCCGGTCTTTATGCTAATCTGAGCCAATCGCATCCTGGCTCTCCTTCCATACTGAATGTACAGACATGAGAGTGGTATTGATCTTTTTCTCTTGGCATGAAAAGGAATAAGTGGATTCCCTAAAATGTCAAAGTATTATTTTAACACAGTACTTAGTTATAAACACACAGTGGCATTAACATTTTTTGAAATATTTGTATGAAACATGATTGGATTGTAATTATTTGGTCTGGGACAAATGAAACATGGCAGTTAATTAATCAAAATGTTAACCTCATGTAATTTGAATTCCCGTTACTGTCCCTATCCTCAAACCCGGTCGCTCTCTTCTTCCAGGTAAGATGACGCACTTGGGCCAGAAGTTTTGCATGGTGGTTTATCCAGCTTTAGGTGACAGCAGCGGGAACGGAGAGGAAGGAGAGGAAATGAAGGAGGCCAGGTCTCCTCTGTCTAAGGAGGACAGAGACGCCCACAAGTCAGCGGACTGCTAAAGCGCACGCCCTTATCTCCCACCTGCCCCAAAAGAAATGGACATATGCAGACGCACACGTGGGTGCGCACACACTCAAACACACATGCAAACACACGACACAGTTTGTAGTGGATTTACTGATCAACACTTGTGCCCCCACACTACATGTTTTTATTTGGTTTTTAGCAAATATAGTATGAGATGTTTGGAGTATTACGACCTCAAACTTTTCTGTCTGGGGTCCTTCAACAGTGCAATAAAGAAAGGTTAGCACCTTCAACTTCTCCAATACACATTAAACAGACACATTTAACAATTTACTATTCATCTTCATCATCATCATCATCATTCTGCTTCTCTTCCTCCCGCTCCCCCTCCACACACTCCCTGCACACTCCTACTGTAAGAGATCATTTTTGTAGTACTTTTTTTTTATCAAAAGACTCTCACTGCACTGTGGTGGCCACACAAACACTTCTTTTCTGTTTTTGTTCTTTTCTTTGGCCACGTTGTAAATTTTGTCATAAATTCAACACACCAAAGCAGTATTTTGACTGTCAAAGCAGAAAATTGGATTCAGATCAAGTCATTTCATGTTGTGAAGTACACCAAGAACTATGTTTTGGTTTTTAAAGGTGACTGTGACGCTGAAATGTTTCTAATTTTTTTGTGTAATTGTTTATATAATTTGCCTTTGTTGTTGTTTTAGTTTTAATATGTTAATTTTTGGTTTGTTGATATTCTTTTTTTCTATTTAACATCATATACATCTCGGCCTTTTTTTTGTTCTTTTTTTTTTTACTCTTGCAACCGTGGAGGTGTACACCTGGAAGCTGATGTGTGAGCTGTTCTTTGCATTGGTAAATGGTTGTTTTTTTTTAATTGCCTTAATTGGAATATATTTGGGTGCCACATTGTGACTGATGTGGAGAGATTGTTAATATTCACACTTGTTAATGTGATGGAAGCAACAAAAAAGTGTTTAGTGTTTTTTAAATCAGAGAGTTTTGGTATGCACACTACACAGATAATTACCCCGTTAAAACTGCATGTCCAAGTCCGGGTCTATATAGCTCAGTTGGTAGGGCATCAGAGTTGAAAGCTGCATGGACATACTGTAGATCACTAGAACCAATAAATAGACAAGACGTGATAATTTCACCACCACTCTGACACATGTGGGAAACAGTTTTACTGCAGAATTATTATTGTAGTTGTACCTTGCTGTACTTTAAATAACCTCTAATCTTGATTCATACAATTGACAAGAAGAGATTTTAGTGCAATATTAATGCAGACACCAGCAAAAAAAACTGATTCAAACCATTCGGTGTTGTCTGGTAATAGTTATGTATCTATGCTGTATATTATAGTAACAACACTCCTTCACACTTCAACACACATTGTGTACTCTTGTGTCTTTCTATAATCTATCTGTGGCTCAGGGCATCCCCACTGCCTTCTCCTTACACACACTGCCTAAAACCTCCAGACCAAGAACACTCAACAGATCCGACTTATTGCCTCGTTGCTAAATGTTTGTACTGGTGCTTTTAGAGATCTTATGTCCTCAGGAGTCTCAATCTTACAAGCAATCCCAAAAATATCTCACAGACGATGACAGGTCTTGGCAAAAAAAAAGTTGGGCCTGTATTGTATAAGTTTCTCTTGTGAAAATGTAAGATGAACAGGGTGTCATGGATGTCTTTACAAGTACAATGATTGTGTTTTGTGCCTGTACGATTATTGTGTATTTACAGTAAACACAGATGTCATGACAGTCCGCAAATTGTCTCTTAGTAAATAAAAACCACTGACTAATGTTTGAATTTGTAATTCAGGGCCTCATTTATATAAAAGAAAATGCTCCATATCTTTATCTTATTCCATTGTGTGATCAATTCAAAGAATGTGATTCTTGTTACATTCAGTTTCTTCAATGATTCCTCAATTTATTACACAACATAAACTTTGTGAATTTCACATTTCTCAGCGAGCGCTGTGCATAAATGAGGCCTGAATGCTAATGCTACATAAATGCTGCAACATTATGTGATGTTGCAGTGATGACTGTGCAGACAGCAACTCGCTTCACAAGTTCAGTGTGAGTGAAATACTGCTTGTATTTCTGCTTAAAATCTAAAAAAGGTTTAATAGTATTGATTATTTTTTACTCGTCTTACGTTCTTGCTGCTCAAGGTTTCCCAATAAGCTGCAACCTCGGCTTCTTGCTTTAATTCAGACCAAAACAAGCCTTTTTTAATGTGGTGTAAATATGAAGTTTTCTGTGTTCTAACAGTCGTTGCATATTAATTTCTTCTCCTAGCAATACATCTTCGCAATGCAATATGCCTAATAAGAATGTTATTTCTAAATAATTTTGTGCACACATTGGTCTCTAATTTAAGTTGCCATTTGCAGTCTGCAGAGCCATTGTGACTGACATGTCTCTCAAGTCTATTTTTGTGCTAAAAATGTAACTGTAAATATTGGGGGTGAGTGTGTGACAAGAATAAAAACATTCAGAAGTGAACCAGAATTTTCACATCTCTTTGTATACAGCCTTTTTTATGAAGAACACAGAATGGCAACCGTGAGGCATTTTCAGCATTAACACAAGTTTATTCAACTGACAAACTAATCTACAGCATGGGTCACACTGAGTGAGGGGGAGGGGGCACATGGGTGCTGACGCAGCAATCCCAAAAGATAACGTTGCTTCTCTGAACATACAAACCTAACAATACCCATGGAAACTGAAGCCATTGTCAAACGACACCACAGTTGGCACGCTCCTTCTAATCAACACAATGTGCAATAAGCACAAAAAGACAGATTAAATTCATGTGAAATAATATAAAACATTATCCTACAGAATGGACATGCTCAGTCTACTTTTGAAGCTTATATAAAGCAAAATCTATGGTACATGATTTAGCATTAGTGGTGGGCAGTTTTCCTGACACAAGACATGTCCTTTACTTCTCGTTGTCCCTTATAGGAATAGTTCGACATTTTGGGAAATATGCTTTTTCATTTCCTGAGTTAGATGAGAATACTGATAACACTCTTTTACTACTCTCTGTCCATTTAATATAAGGCTGCAGCAGGTTAGCTAAGCTTTCTACAAAGACGGGAAACCGGGGCAAACAGCTAGTCTGGCTCTATCCAACAGAAACAAAGTCTGTCTAATAGCACCTCTAAAGCTCCCTAATTAACACACCACATTGCAATTATTTAATGTGTACAAAAGCCCAAGTGTAAAAATACACAACTTGTCATTTTTCAGGGGGTTATGTCACAGACTATTTCTTGACTGGGAGCAGTAACTTCCTTAGGTATCAATCGGTTGCTTGGCAGCTGTTCAGAGCCAAGAAATAGCCGAGCACGTGAAGAGGCAAATTGTCATTCCAAACTTTGATTTTCGTACAAATTAAGAAACGAGATATAAGTTATTAGAGGATTTAGTTTCTGTTGTACAGAGCTGTTTCCCCCTCTTTCCAGCCTTTGTGCAAAGATAAGCTTTATATTTAACAGAGATACGGTATGCATGAGTGGTATCAATCTTCTCATCCAACTTTCTGGCACAAAGCGAATGTGTGTCTTTCCCAAAATGTCAAACTATTCTTTTGAAGATTCTTTTATCCATCTTTTGCAAATCTAACTAAGTTAAATTGGTACTCCACAAGAAAAAGACTTTTGATTGATACATCCAGATTATTATACTGAGTTGGGGCGAATGACAGAGAACAGAATAAAACATGGATGAAACAGAACAAGTAAACCGTAGTTTGTGTCACACTCTGAAGGCAAAGGCTGTGATCCAAGGTTGGGTTTCCTTGAAGAATCTTTAAGCTACAGTTAGCTGTTTTATCATCGGAGGAACAATAGTAACCTCTGTGCTTACATGCAGAGCTGCAGAGTAGAAGCGGTTTTCTGTAGCAGCCAAAATTAGCTCTGGGTCGTAAAACTTTAGCCAAAGCTTTGTTTTATTCTGAAAGTTACTTTGCCTTTTCTGCCAGGACAGAACACGTAACATTCACCATGAAAATGTTACAGTGGGGGCAGTGTTGGCAGCCAACACATATTTGGCTGAAGGGAAGTGGCTGCCACAAGTAGAACCTGATCTAACTCTTTCTACCAATGGCTCTGTGTTGCCTACACTGCCACCCGGTGACCCCTGGATGCGCAACTTCGGTGGATCCGCTTAATGTAGGCATCGCAAAGGCTAAGGCATGTTTCCAAGTGATGTCTACAGTGCAGGCTTGGAGTGTAGGCTTCTGGGAGAGCGGGGCACCTGTCCACCTCGCAGAGCAAGAACCAGATGGAGAACAGAGCCTCCCTGGATTTTATAGTCTGCAGCTGTTTTCTCATCGTTCCTGAGAACAAAGACATGCAGGATACAAAACGTCAGACAGCAGAAAACCCTCTATTAAAAAACTAACTTTCATTTGTTTTATTTTTTACAATGACAGCCAGAACAAACATCAGCTCCTTAATACAGCATAACATATTCTTAAGGAGATAAAGATATGCAACTTATAATACTGGTGTTATTATCTTCTCCCATAAAACTGGTGAGTGATGATGGTAATGATTGAGTTGGATGATGATGGCTGGGTGTATTCACTTGTTTTCACTATGTCATGCCATCATACATTGTTTAATGTGAGCTTTTGTGGCTGGTTTTAGCATTTGTTTTACATATTTTTATTATCTGTTTAAAGTGTTTCATTGTATGTTAAGTCTGTTTCACCAAGGCAAATTACCCACGGTGTAATATAATGTTTCTGACTTCCAACCAAAGACATACATCTTTAAACGGGTCCGGAATATATAGTTTCATTTAAAATAAAGGCTGATTTCCAAAAATCAACTGAAACATTACTCCTCCCTACCTCTCTGACCTCCTCCCCGCCACACCTCGACACGGTCCGCGGACACAACACTAAAAACCTAACTCCATGCCATCTTTCAAACAGGCCCTCAAAACCCACCTTTTCAAGACTGCAACCCCCAGATAACTTCCTTCACCTGCTTTTTAAAAAAAAACTTTACTTAAATACTTTCACCTTTCTCCCTTTAAAGCATCTTTGAGTTTTTAGAAAAGTGCTATATAAATGTTATTCATTATTATTATTATTATTATTACTAAAACAGGAGTATATTATGTATATTAAATGTGTATTTGTTTGGGACTATTTTCAGCAGTAGGTTGGCATGCATTTGGTGCACCAGTTAGTACTTACACTACATCAGGATGGGATATGGTAAAATAAGAAAAACTGAATTAAAGGATGGGAAAGTTAAGACTGGGGAAATGAAAGACAGGTAAAGAAAAACAAAGGGCATCTCAGTCTTACATCTGTTTCCCACTGTAGATCAACCTCTGCTGCTGCGGAGGGATCCCTTCTTTCTCCTCCACCCTTTCTTTAATCCGCTCCACCTGTATGAAAGGTAATGTAAAACATACGGCTCAAAGCTCAAACACACACAATGAAGAATGAGTAATGACCAACACATGAGGAAATAAAAGATCATTATATACCTTATCTGTGGGCTCTATGTCAATCTCTATCTCTTTGCCTGTGAGTGTCTGTAAAAAAACAATTTCAGGTTATTGTTGAGCAAATTATGAGACCGGACACAACTCAATAACTCAGTTAGGCTAACTGTTAACCCGGGCTAATCGTTGTGTTTACTTCGCCCTACCTTCACTTTAATCAGCATCTTTGTTGACTTGTTTTTTTTATCAAATAAACTGGAGCGGGATCAACTGTATGATTATAGTTTAACTGAACCTATGATTTGATATAACCTACTGATAACACGGTATTTTTGTAAATGGAAACTCGATATATTCCTCTTCTTCCTGAAAATGCGTGTTTCCTGTGTTTCCCAGTTAATCCCGCCGCCTCCCCGTTTGTAAAGAAATGTCAACGGTTCCGCTTTAATTTAATTTCGGACCTCCTTTGTTTCATTTACCGTCGAAAAAGCACCGACTTTGCCCTAAAATAATCTCACATTAGCGTGAGTATCGCCCCAACAAAAGCAAACTGACATTTGTTTCCTGAATACCTAAAACAACCCTCACGACACCAGCGCAACGTAGCGTAAAGCGAACCTTGCATTTGTAGTTTTTACCCGCATGTCGCCTACCAGCTAAAGCGCTTTAAAAACTACAAAGCGGCTGTCAGTTGGTGTCCGCCGCCGTGAATCTTCCCGCTCACACAGTGGAAAAGGAAACAACTCCGGCACAGACAACCTCAGTCATAATTTCTGTAAAGGTAATACTTTATGTTGCAAAATCTATAAAAAACACTTGGGTAATTAGCATTGTGTGCTAATGTAAACGGGTTGCACTGCTAATATGGTGGATTCAAATGTGACACTTTCACATTATATAACGTAACCTTGATTTTTGACAACGGGGCTAAGCAGACAGCACCAACTAAGCTAACTTATGTTAACTTAATCCTTGTGAAAAAGGTTATATCATAACGTGAAAACCATTAAGAATATTATTTTCAGTATCGTCTAACCATTAAAAAAACACTAGCAAGCTAAAAATTACCTTTTTAACGTTACATGTCCACATAGCAGTAATTAACGTAACGTTACTCTTCTTCTGGCTATTTCTGACACATCTGTTGTCTTTTTCGTTTGCTTTTACAGTGTTGCTTGCAGACCCTAACGTTACACCATGCCTAAGTTACTTTTAGTTAAATGAAGTTGATGACCATGTGTATGAGTGCATAAAGGGGGTGTACAAATGAGAAAAGACACAACGCAATCGTCTTAAACTCTGACCTCCCTATCTTTCACAGACTGCTTTATTTCACTTTTTTGTTGTTACTCTACCTGCACAACCTGTTTCCAAAATGCCTCGCATTGAGAATGACATCAAGCTGGACTTCAAGGATGTGCTCCTGCGTCCCAAGAGGAGCACACTCAAGTCTAGGAGCGAGGTAGATACACATGTGTGAAGTATTGTTCCCCCTACATGATGAAACCTGTCTGACCTAAATACAGATGTTTCCATTATATGATCCCTGTGAGTGAGTGCACAACCTTATAGGCATTTTGTAGTCATTAAAGTAGAGGAAAGTATTAGCCCTCGTTCACATTTTACCAACTGGTTAGAGACTTCAAGCAGTGACCCTTTACTTTACTATTGGCTCCTCCTGGCCCAGTAACTGTAGTAACATGCTGTGAATCATGATGAGAATTTAAAATGACTAATTTAAGTACGCTATTACCGTCAGGCAGACGGTAAAGGGTGCCATCCCTCCGAACCAACCCAGTCTGCAGATCATTCGTGCATACCAGTATTGTGTTGCTAAACAAACTGTGAAAAACATTACTGCACCTCTTGGTGTGGAGATGCTGCACCTTTATTATAATAGGTACACCTATTACCTCTGGTAATATTTTGTGTTGGTTTCATAGTTGTCTGTTTGTTGAATTGTCTGACAATTGCTTTATGGCATCTATCTAATGTCTCGTTGTCCTTGCCTTTCCCAGGTGGACCTAATGAGGAGCTTCTCTTTCAGGAACTCCAAGGGCAGCTACAGGGGGATCCCCATTATCGCTGCAAACATGGACACTGTGGGGACCTTTGAGATGGCCCTGGCTTTGCACGAGGTCGGTTAAGCATTACATGGGATGTGTATAAATCACTTATTATTTCACAAAATGTTTCACAGTGCTAGAATCTATTTTAATGTAATTTATCATTATCCCTTTTTGAAAGGAAAAGTGACCAAAGTAGTCTAAACAAAACTAAGTGAATCTAAATTTAATCCAAGCAGTGAACACTATAATGCAGAATAATCACTGTATTACATAGCAGGCCGATGACTGAGGACAGGCCCTACTTTCTTCACTAAAGACCAAATTAAAAGTGAGAGGTCATCAAGCTTTTCCGACCCAGATGCCAAGTTTTGGTTGCTTATTCTGTGTAGCATCTGTATCTATACTGAACAAAATTATAAACGCATTACTTTTGTTTTTGCCCCCATTCAACATGAGCTGAACTCAAAGATCTAAGACTTTCTCTATGTACACAAAAGTCCTATTGAGCACTTCTCCTTTGCCGATATAATCCATCCACCTCACAGGTGTGGCATATCAAGATGCTGATCAGACAACATGGGTATTGCACAGGTGTGCCTTAGACTGGCCACAATAAAAGGCCACTCGAAAATGTGCTGTTTCACTGTATTGAGGGATCCAGGGCGGTCTGGAAACCACCTGAAATCATTCTCATATCTGATGTGACCACCATTTGCCTCCTGCAGTGCAACACATCTCCTTCTCATAGAGTTGATCAGGTTGTTGATTGTGGCCTGTGGAATGTTGGTCCACTCCTCTTCAATAGCTGTGCGAAGTTGCAGTCAGGTCGAGACCCCGATGAGGATGATGAGCATGCAGATGAGCTTCCTTGAGACGGTTCCTGACAGTTTGTGCAGAAATTCTTTGGTTCTGCAAACCGATTGTTGCAGCAGCTGTCCAGGTGGCTGGTCTCAGACGATCCTGGAGATGAAGATGCTGGATGTGGAGGTCCTGGGTTGGTGTGGTTACACGCGGTCTGCAGTTGTGAGGCCAGTTGGATGTACTGCTTCTTTGAAGTTCTCTGAAATGCCTTTGGAGACGGCTTTTGGTAGAGAAATGAACATTAAATTCACGGGCAACAGCTCTGGTGGACATTCCTGCAGTCAGCATGCCAATTGCACGTTCTCTCAAAACTTGCGACATCTGTGGCATTGTGCTGTGAATAGAACTGCACATATTCAAGTGGCCTTTTATTGTGGCCAGCCTAAGACACACCTGTGCAATGCCCATGTTGTCTGATCAGCATCTTGATATGCCACACCTGTGAGGTGGATGGATTATATCGGCAAAGGAGAAGTGCTCAATAGGCCTTTTGTGTACATAGAGAAATTCTTAGATCTTTGAGTTCAGCTCATGATGAATGGGGGCAAAAACAAAATTAATGCGTTTATAAACTGCTGTGTATTACCTGTCAGCGTTGTCTTTGCCTTTTAAGACTCAGAAAGATAAGAATCACCCCACTGATTTATAAAAAAATAAAAAAATACTCACTTTAACATTAATTCTTTTGTTTTGTTATTTCATTCACTCCATCACTCACTCACAGTTAGAAAAGCTGCCCCAAATGGTCATTAGATGTCATTGCATCATCCACAGACTACACACTGAACCAGAATATTTTAGTTGCCTCTTCCCTGCAAACTGCTGAATTGTGTTTCTGTGTGTCCTGGTTGCATAATGTTTCTCACTTGCGCTGTTGTTCCTTGTCGCTTCCACCAGTTCACTCTCTTCACTACGATTCACAAACATTACTCTGTGGATGACTGGGTGGAGTTTGCAAAGAACCATCCCAAATGCCTGCAGGTACCCAAAGTGTTCATTATTATGTAACCCATTATTTCAAGGAGTTTATTAATGGTGGTATTTATTGTAACACAACTGTCTGTCTCTTCCTGGTTTAAATCCCAGAGTGTAGCAGTCAGCACAGGCACCGGTGACGGTGACTTTGACAGGATTTCAGCCATCTTGGCGGCGGTGCCAGAGCTCCAGTATATCTGTGTAGACGTGGCTAACGGCTACTCTGAACACTTTGTTCACTTTGTCAAAGACGTCAGGCAGAAGTTCCCCTCCCACACTATAATGGTTCGTAGATGTCTGCCTTTAAGCTCCAGCATGTGCGGCTGACAAGGGAATGAATGTTCACAACATTTCTTTGATAATCAATAAAACATTTTTTATTATTGCTTTTATTTTGCTCAGGCAGGAAACGTGGTGACAGGAGAGATGGTAGAAGAGCTGATCCTGGCTGGCGCTGACATCATCAAAGTAGGCATCGGACCAGGTGATCACAGCGTAACACTTACTAACACATTTCTGCATCCATTCATAACATAGTAGCATCATCAAAAGTTTGATGTTTTCAAATACACCAAACGTCAACGTAATACTATGTTACTATTATATACAGTATTCACGACATATGTAAGAACCCAATTTATAGATCTGTATAAGAAAATAACTAACTTGCTTCACTAATCAGGTGAATTCAGACTGTTATTTATATTGTCCCTGGAAGGATGTTTTGCAATGTAGCAACTCCGATTCATCTGCCACACACAGGTTAAGCAGACCACCAGCAGGGTTTGTAAATGCTGTTTCCAGTTTTCAAATCATGTACCACAGACTACAAGGAGTTATCTCTTACTATTATGTCTTCTTCTTCTTCAGGCTCTGTGTGCACCACCCGCAAGAAGACAGGGGTGGGGTACCCCCAGCTCAGCGCTGTGATTGAGTGTGCAGATGCAGCCCATGGCTTGGGAGGCCACATCATCTCTGTGAGTGACTCTTTTCTATGGCAGTCCAATGATTTGATCATAATTTCTACACAGTTCTTATTGTCTAGAATTAGGAATAGTTTACTAAATTGAAGCTACAGTCAGCAGCTAGTTAGCTTAGCTTAGCATACAGACTGGAAACAGGGGGAAATAACTGGCCCGGCTTTGTCTGTAAAGTAAACATTTGTATGTTGTTTTTTTGGGTGGAAGTAATGTACTGGACTATTTCTCATTGTTACTAGAGCCTTGTTGTGTGTAGCACATAACCAACCGAAAAACCCCACAAATTGTCATTTTTACACATTTGTTTTTGTACATTACACTAACAAGATATAATGTATTAATCTGTGAGCTTTATAGGTACTTGTGGGAAATATTTGTTGCCATCAAACACAGCATGGCTAGCAGTTATATATATATATATATATATATATATATATATATATATATATATATATATATATATATATAGCAGTTTCTATGCTAAGCTAAGCTAACTACCAAATGGCTCGATATTCTCATCTACATCTTGGCAAGAAAGAACTATTTTTGGCAGAAACTATTGATAATTTTTCTTATCTTTCTTTATGAATGGTTTCCACCTGTCCCAAGTTACTTTTTGTAATTCCATCCACTCTTCTCTCCCCACAGGCAATGTGTTTTGTTAGATGTATTTCACCCTGCGAATGTGCAGCCTTGTCTTTTTTTCTCCAGGCTGTATGTTCATGCAGACATGATAAACATACAGTCAGACCCATAACATGGCGTTTTGTTTGGTCTTTGTCCCTCTCTTCTCTCTCACACAGGATGGGGGATGCACTTGCCCAGGAGATGTCTCAAAGGCTTTTGGTAAGTTTCAGTGTTTCCATTCAAATTACAGCCGTAGGGAGAATTCCTCTGTTGAAACAGGCTTCTCACTATTTGTTTTGCTCTTTCTGCGCGACTCTAAAGGTGCTGGAGCAGACTTTGTGATGCTGGGCGGTATGCTTGCTGGCCACTCAGAAAGCGGGGGCGAGATTATTGAGAAAAACGGGAAGAAATACAAGCTGTTCTACGGAATGAGCTCCGACACTGCGATGAAGAAACATGCAGGAGGCGTGGCTGAGTACAGGTCAGAGTCAGTTATTGTGGTATATAAGGGGAAAATATATAAGTTTTTCATATGTGCATGTGATTTAGTGACCATGGTCTCCAGCTTCATTTCTTTAACAACCAGCTGTCAGACATATAATTATCAGGATGTACAGAATGTAAACAGGATTAAGCTGGATACCAGTTTAGTACCAGATGTTCTCAACCCTTGGCAAGTAGGTAAGTTAGTAATGACATACAGCTGAGCTAATTAATATTACTTTGTTACTAATTTAGCTAACGTTAGATAACAGCTATAAAACGTGCTGTACAGGGGAGATGTTTGCTAGCGCTAACCGCCTTAATGTTTCCAGCAGTTGGAGAAACTACAGACTTTTATTAACGGACACACAGTGACCTACGCTGCACGTTTACTACCAGACTGAAACTTACCGCTAATATTTTTATCCGCTAACTTTCACCGTCATGCTCTGCTGCTCGCTCTGTCTCAGTGGCTCGGCCACACACACAGATACACGGAGCTGCCAGGCATCGAGTGTCACGAGTGTGCGAGTTAAAATCAATTACTTGCACATTGATAATAATGACTGCGTGACATTTAAGTAAGGTGGTTATTCATTCCGCAGCAGTGCTGTGCTGAATACAGGGGGAACACTGGTCTCTCTGTTATGTGCACTTCTTCTTCTTCTTTAATGGCGGATTGCAAACAACTTTTAAGTGCATACCGCCACCTACTGTACTGGAGTGTGTAACATCATATCATTCAGCTATCAACCTCAATAAGGTGCTCTCATATTCTGTTTACCAACCCAGTGTCTTTAAGAAATTTAAATAATGCCTTCCTGGTGATTCTTATACCCTTTTCTTCTCCTTCTGTTTGTTATGTGCACTTCCGCAATTCCCGCCTTTTGTGTTCCGTCAACATTACGTTATCAATTAACATTTAAATAATCGATTTTTTGACAATTGTTAATCGAGTCAGAATCTTTCACGTCTGCATCGCGATGCATCTGAGAATCAATTTTTTTCTCCTACCCCTAGTCTGTTGCTTGTCAGCATTAATCGCTAAACTTAAGGTGCAGAGTGGTGAGTGATGTTTGCGTAGTAAACCACATTCCTCTGTTTGTATGTGTGTGTTTTGCCCCCAGGGCGTCGGAGGGGAAGACAGTAGAAGTGCCTTACAAAGGTCCAGTGGATGTGACAATACGAGACATCCTGGGCGGGGTCCGCTCCAGCTGTACCTATGTTGGGGCAGGCAAACTGAAGGAGCTGAGCCGTAGGACCACCTTCATCAGGGTCACCCAACAGCTCAACACCGTCTTTGGCAACGACAGCTGATTGTCCAGCTGACTCAGATCCAAGGATAAGTCTACAAGCACTGCCTGTCTGACTCCCAAACACAAGTGAACAGACACATATATTAATACTTAAATACTGCCCTTTTAGTATCATTATTCGTTTTTACAGTTCTTTGACATTTCAATGCATATTTAGTATGTTGACCTCATTGACATTAACAGAAATGTTTTTCAGCGCACAGACTCTGAATGTTACTTTTTTCCATATAAGCCACAAAGTGTTTCGGGGGCCAGTGTGTCTCTAGACAGTAAGATGTAAGCTAGAGTAGGAATTCCTCCGCCTTTTCATGGTCTGCTGTCTCATCATTCCAATGCAAGGTCCTTTCTGTGGCTGTCTATAAACAGCATATATATCAACTGTGAGTGTTTGTCACCCACGTATAAAGTTATAGCAAAAGTCTTAAATTATTTAGAAAGCCTAAATATGTCAGCAGCAGCTGTTTAATTAGGAAATATGCGGTTAATTTTAGAAATTCAATCACTCATTAAGTTTTGCACTTTAATGATTTGTAATTTGAGAGTTGATTAGTTTTTGCTATTGTAATTGTAATGAATACATTACTAAACTACAGTGGCACGCATTGTATCCAGCACTTACTGCTACTTTTTAAAATAGTATGTGAATTAGATTTGGGAGAATTATTATATATGGACCAATACCGAATGCTACAGTACTAGAGCAGATCCAGTACATAGTAATGAAGTGCTGAATTCATAGCAGAGGTGTTCTTTAATATTAACATATGTGTAGCTGTTCTCTTGTCTAGCTGCTCCTGGCAATACCAAAGTTCGTGTGGGTTTATGTTAGAGATGTGCACATTCAAAGTAATTTATGATTCATTATAGCCTTAAAATTAAGTTGTCAATCCTAGGAAGTATTACAGCATCAGTATTTTTTATGGTTTCACTTCAAACTGTATCAATGGTTACTGTTTCAAGCTGTTCTTACATGATTTGTTTTGTTTCATTTTTTAGTGTCACATTAGTATGGAAATGGCAAAAGGTAAAACTGAAATGTGTTTTTTAAATTCACTTTTTTTTCCACTTCACATTTTAACCAGTCAATAAAAACATTCCACATTTTAAACATTTTCTGGCTTTATTATTGAGCAGATTCACAACGTATGTATGATACAAAAGACACAAATTTCTTATTGTCATTTGGACATCATGAGACCATGCACTGTGAGATACTGAGCAACGACCAGTTCACCTAAATTACTTTGGTTCAAACTGCCAAAACAAAATAATTCACATCACTACAATGAAAAGACATTCAGCTGAACATGTTATATTGCCTTTAGTGTATGATGTATACTGTGTACACTGAAACAGTCACAGCATAAACTTATCACTGATTACTGACATTTCACAACAACTCTAATCAATGAGAAATATTTACTGAAAGCAAAAATTATTAATGTAGGTATTTGTAGCCATTACTGAAGTTCACAAACCACCTCTGTGATGCATGCACCAACCAATAATCGCTCCACAGGAACAATTATCATTCATTATATCAATAAGAGGTTCTGTGTGTCTTCATTCTGGTCATTAAATATGCCTCAGGGGTTGGGGACCCATTAGATTTTCTTTATGTGATTCCTGTTGAACACATTATCCAGAAACGTGCCGTCTCTTTTCATGTTTAGGCTGAGGACACACAGATGTACCTGCCCATCAGATTCACAGACCTTGAAATTCTGACTTCACGTAATAACTCCTTCCTCCACCTGAACTCAGACAAAACAAAGATCCTGGTCACTGGGTCCCAGCAAATGACATAGCAAATTCTGGCATTTACTGGTTCCCTAGTGGATCATATCTGGCCTGTTTCAAGGAATCTTGGCATCTGTTTTTACAGTAATTTAAGTTTTGAGCAGCACATCGTAAAGCTTGTGCAATCATGTTTTTACCAGCTTAGAAATATATAAAAAATGTGATCAATGTTAACTTTTAAGCACACAGACCATTTTACAAGCCTTTATAATCATTACTGCAGCAGCCTTTTTACTTGCTTGGACCAAAAATCTATTGATCGACTCCAGACTGTCCAGAACTCAGCTGCTTTTAATCAGAACAAAGAAATATGACCACATCACCTCCCCAGTGTTACCTTCAGTACACTGGCACCCAGTATGTTTTAGAATAGACTTTAAAATGTTATTGATCACTTTTAAAGATCTTCATGGCCTCTCTCCCAGTTATATCTCTGACCTTTTAGTCCCATCTGCACCAGCACGTACGTAGGTCTGTTGTCTGTTCCAAAGTCTCGACTGAAAACTAAAGGGGACAGAGCGTTTGCAGCCAGGGCCCCGAGGCTCTGGAACAGCCTGCCAGCAGAAATCAGGTCAGTAAATGAGTCAGTGAACTCCCTTCTTAAAACATACTTTTATAGGAGAGCCTTTCCTGATTTTAGTTGATAGTATTTTTCTTTACTTTTAACTGTATTTTAATTCTTTAAAAATGTTTTCTTGTTTTTATGTTTTCTTGTTTTATCTGTTTTATGTGTTTTTGATTTTCTACCCACAGCAGCACTGCAAAACAGTTTACATTTCTGCTTAACCAAACACTCAAGGGGTGGAGTTGGACAGATTTGGCTGACTGGTTGTTAGGTTTAGAGTTAAGTTTTAAGTTTTGTTTCACACATTAGAAATGAGCATGGGAATGTATATGACCTAACAACGTGTGTTGGTGAGTCATATTTCATACACAAGGAACTCCTTGTGTGTGGAAGACATCAGGACTTGTTGTAACATGATCTGTGTTGTTTCATATTTTATTGGTACATTGGTATGGAATTGGCAGTCAATAAAATCATTCCAAATCTTAAACATTTTCTGGCTTTAATATCAAGTGGGTTCACAATGTATGTACTATATGAAAAGACACAAATTCCTTGTTGTCAGTGGGACATCATAAGATGACCAGTTCGACCAGTTCACAACCAGATGGAGACAAACACCTTAAACCTACTTTGTTGCTTACAACTCTCAAAACAAAATAATTAACATCACTTTAATGAAGACGTTCAGCTGAACATGTTGTATTGCCTGTGTAGTATGAAGTGTATTTTGTACACTGAAAACAATCACAGCATTTGCGTATTAGCCTACTGATATTAACACTAAAATCACTACATTTTCATTTGACAACAACACTAATCAATGAGATTTATACTCACTTAATGAAATGTTATTACTGTAGGTAGTTGTAGCCATGCACGTCTTAGCTTTGTATGATGATCAGCTGGGTCCTATCAATTACTTGAGTTCACAAACCACCTCTGTGATGCTTATGCCACCAATAATCTCTCCACAGGAACAAGTATCCCGGTGAGAGTAGTAGCGCCGACCATCACTGTACTGATTGCTGTTCCTGCTGTAAACCTTCTCACAGGTGCACTTCCATTGCTGCTGGGACATATTCTCACTGCTTTCCTTTCCTAGTTGAACAAAGGGGACCAGGTCCCAGTTGTTGAGGCTCATCTTAATTGTGATTATTTCATTCCTCTGGTACTGTCCAGTTCTGCTGAAGAACGACAGCGAGGAAGCAACAAAGTTCCAAAACACTTCCACCATTTCAGGTCGTGGTACGGCCTCTTCTGCATTTTCAGCCTGATGTGTGATTAATGCTGAGGAAACCCTGCGTTGTTTCTCTTTCTTGCTCATGTCAGACTGAAACAGCCCAGAACTTTGTGAATTGACTGATGCATCACAACAATCATCACACTCTGTCGTGAGAGAGCTGAGCTGCTTACTTTCACAGCACAGACCATACACAGGTCCGTCCTTCAGGTTCTTTGCAGACTGTTGGTCACATAAACCAATGGTCCAGTCAGAGTCTGGGGAAAGACTGACCACCCACCTCTGAAAGTTAGTAACTGACTGGGTGCTGCGGATCAGAAGAGTGGCAGAGCATTGCCCCAGCCAGCTGCTGTAGAAAACCATCCTGTTGTCTTTGGACAGTGACATGCTGGGACCAAAAGTCTGCGGGTCAAATATCAGGTCTGAACTAGTTGCAACAAGCTCCTGGTGGTTTTCTGGATCAACCAGAGTCAACAGAGATCCCCAGAGGTGGCCTGCTTGCTTCACCATCTTTTCACCATTCTGTCGTATCTCCTGAACCAGTCTGTCACGATCACTGCCGGGCTCCAACCCTTTTCTCAGATCCACGGCCTTGGCCTTCTCCACATCCTGATGCACCTGAGAATACATCTGCAGGAATCTGAAGGTGTCCTTCTCGTTCTGTGCTGCTTGGATGCTGGTCTTGCTGGTTTTGATGGACACCATACGGGCAGAGACCGAACTCTGGACACTGGCCAGGGCAACGTCACGCAGGTTAGTCACAGCCTCAATGAGACGAACACTAGAGCGACCCAGCTTCTCTCTTTCACTCTTCTCCCACTTTTCCAGACTCACATTCTCGTCTTCAGTTTTCACCAGTAAGGCCTGCTGCTCAGCACTGAGCTTTTCCATGAGCTCTTTGTGGGCTGTGGAGAAGGTCTTCAAGTTGTGCAGGCGGTGCTGGTCTTCAATGGCGCAGGAAACACACACACACAGGTCAAGTCATCCAAGCAGTAGTACTCCACGAGTTTGCCATGTTGGGGGCATTTGGTGGTCCCACATAAAGACATGGGTTCAGTCAGAGGATGAGTTTGTAGTAACACAGGAGTGGTCAGGTGGGCCTGGAGGTGCTGGACGCACATGGAGATCTCACATTTCATGCAGGTCTTCCGTGCTGGTTTCCTGTCCTCCTCTGTACACATGTCGCAGAGGATCACTTGTGGGTCCTTTTGCAGATTGTCAGACATGTTTTCAGAAGCAGGAAGTCCAGAATAGATTATTTTTGAATATTATTCAGTGTTGAACAAAGTCCTTAGGATCCTCCTTGCTGCTCTTAGATTTTACATGAAATCTGAGTTTGCTGAATTTAGTTGTTTACCCGTCGTTAGTCTGTCAGTCTCTGGTCTGAATGCTCTGCCACAGCAGCGCTGCACAACAGTTTCAATTTCTGCTTAACAACACACTCATGGGGTGGAGTCAAACAGATGTGGCTTCAGCCTTTTGTTAGGTTTACAGTAAAGTTTCGTTTCACACATTAGAAATGAGCAACACCAATGGAAGTGGGAATGTATTTATAACATGCCAACATATAAACTCTTTGTACATGAAAGACCTCATGACTTGTAAAAAAAAATTAAAAAAGAAAAGCAAACTATGAAATTTAGATACTTATCAGCTCATAAATCAGCTCAACAAAATGTTATTATTCACTCACTATAATTATTTAGGCTACATTTTCTTGATTTCCATTTAATCACTTTTGCATTTTCAGATTTGCTCCACTTACTCCACAAAATTTTACTTTAAACTTGTTCTGCATGTGTTATCATTATTATGAGATCTTTGCACCAACAGCACTATATTTTAACCCAGGAGGGTTGATCACATGAAGGGAAACCCTTTGCCTTTTGTCTAGTTTGGACCCTTCAGTTTTCTGAATCCCAGAAGTTTTTTAAAGGTGAGATGTATTTAATACCTCATTATACTCTGTTGTGACAGCACAGTCCATATATGTCTCCATCTTGACCTTGGCATATTTTTTAGCACATAAACCAATGTCCAGTCACAGACTTTGAAGAGGCTGGTCACCCATCTGGGAAAGTTAGGAACAGGCTGTGAATGCATAAAAATGTAGCCAGAGCTTTCCCCCAGCCAGGTGGGGGAAAGCTCTGGCCTGGGTATCTCCAGAGATACCCAGACCCTACAACCAACCTATCCCGCTACTGGGGTAAGTTGTAACAATTAGAGAAAAGAAGCAAAAGCTGATGCCGCACCATGATATGCTTAAAAAACAGCTCTATTGAAATAAAAGGACAATGTTTCACTCTCTCTGTAACAAAGTATGTCTGACTGACTTGTATGTTTGTATGTGTGTCAATGTGTGTGTGTTTATTTGTCTGCTAGAATAACCTTACTTAACGATACATGAATAAACACTAATGTATCTGATTAAAGAACATCTGTGTACATATTTAGGTCTAAGAAAAATTTAAAAAGACAATATTTTTCACATGCTCTTTAA